TAATCCTTATCCGTTGAAACCCCAGCGTGCAGTGGGACTGGGGGAACCTAGAAAGAAAAGCATGGCCTCCTGGGGTGACAGAAAAAGGGAACAGCCGTGTAAGTGCTGGGAAGTTGAAAGAGAATGAACCTTTGGTTGGGGGCAGAGCGGTTGTGCTGAGCTCTGGTACAGGAGCACAACGTGTGTGCCTCGGTTGGACAAAATGCCTCTCACGTCAGATGCACCGCAAGGCCTGCGTGGTGGTGTGAGCTCAGGGCCTAGACAGCCAGGGACAGACTCCTCAAGAGGCAGCGAGTGGATAATGCTACGTAAGTATGGAATTACATACCACATTTTCACCATTCTGTTTAATGAGAGCCGCCACTGCAGCGAGTCACTTGCCACACAGCCGAAATGGGCCATTAGCTATCAAGGGAAAATTGTCTTTGCCGCTTTCAGCAGATGGAGCAAATATTTTACAAAGCAATTTTACATACCAAAAACATTTGTGTGCCTTGGTAATGCTGGCTGCTCTACATTATGGTACCTGCTACAGCGGCATAATTTTCCATCTCATCGAAGGCAAACTTGGCATCTTTGATTTTTAAATTCTCAATTAACAATTAAACATGGTGTATTAAAACAGTCCTTAAACTTTAAGTAGGTGTGGAAAGTAGTTTATGACTTGCTGGAGATGCTTTCCTTTTTTCCCTCATCCTCTCTGTGTCTTTTTGCACTCTAAAGAATGACTATTTCTGATGATCTTCATGGAAAGAAGTGAATGGAAACTTCACTACTGACTGCAGAAGGAAAGTAACCAGTGCAAAGGGTGATCAGAATAGTTGCTGGCTGCAGAAAGTTCTGCTGAACCCTGAGGAGACAGTTTGGCCCACCTATTTTTATTCATTTAAAATGTTTAAGCTTCAAGTACCAGAAAACACAACTCAAAATGGCCTTCCAGATAAGAAGCCAGGGCTAATGGTGTAGACCTGTAGTCCCAGCACTTCGGGAGGCTGAAGCAGGAGGATTATGAGTTCAAGCTGGGCAATTTAGGGAATTAACAAGACCATGACTCAAAGGGGAAAAAAAAGAAGAAAAGCTGTTCAGTGTGAAGGCCCTGGGTTGAACACCCAGTGCTAAGATAAGAAGAAGAAAAGAACTAAATTATTATCTCAGCTATCTGAACGTTCAAAGATGGTTGTGCCCCTTGTGGTTTAGTAGCACCCCCAGGGAAGGACCCTATGTCTGTGCAGAAAGTGGGCTCCAGCCTAAGACTGGCTCCCCCCAAGGGTGCAAGATGTCTACCGGGAGCGCCTGGAGTTTGTCAAGGCAATAGAAAGAGACAACATCTCACCTGGCAGCATTCTCAGAAGAGCATGAAGCTCCTTTTGGAAGGCTCCAGGATCGGCCTTCTAACAATGCATTGGCTCCTGTGTGTCACCTGTGTAACCCAGCCAACCATAGTGGCCGAGGCATGGCACTGGCAGTCAGGACCTCACTGTGGAGATGAGGATGGCATCCCTTTCAGTAAGTCTTGCAAGGTACAGAATGAGACGAAGGCAGATCCTGAGAAGCAGTACCATTCACAGCCAGCAATGGACATCCACTCTTTCATAAATTTAACGGTGCAGATTTCTGCATCACCTGGGTTGGCTGAATCTCACCCAGAGTGACCAGTTTGTGCCCACTGAGGTGGAAACAGGCCCAGACCTTACTGCACTATGGTGCACCGGTAACACCTGGCTTTGAATCCAGTTTTGCTACTTCTGGGTGGTGTGACATAAAATAAGGAAGAAAATATTTATGTTAGCAAATGTAGGACACCAGCTATATCATAAACTTTCAAAAAGTAGAAGCTATTTTTTTTTAACCTAAAAGTGACCACACTAGTAACATGTACCTGGCACAGTAGATCAGCCTTCCAAATTCACCTTTGAATTTGGAATCCTTCCCTCTCCCCACTTCTGTGCCGCCAGCTGATTCAGAGCCCTGGCGCCTTCCGTGACACCCTACGCTCTGCTCCCTAAAAGGGCTGGGGTGTTGCGGAGCTCTTGCCCAGAGGTCAGAGCAGCCTGAGAGCTCCTGCAGGTCTGCAATGTGTATTAAGAGCCCCTTCCTTCTTCTGCCATGTGAGGCATTTGTCCTAGATAGTCCATATGGCCTCCTTCCATGCGGATGCTGCTGCGGCATTTTTCAGGTCACTGTGCCCTTTTGACTTCATGCCACTCTCCCTTTCTTTAGGGTTATCAGAAGCATCTATACAGAAGAACCACCTGGCAGGGCCCTTGGTTTTCTTTTCTACTTGATCTTAGCTAAAAGACTGAGAAGAAGGAAAAAGAAGACTGAGAAGCCATCCCTTGGATTTCTTTTGAACACCATCAAAAGACATCTGATGGGAAGATTAGAGGTGAATAGGTTATTTTATTTAAAGCATCACTGATAATTCAGCAGAGAAGCTGCTCAAATAAGAGTTTTAGTGAGACTGATACAGAGAGTATTCTAATTTATATTCCTCCTCCCTCCTTTCCCATCCTGTCCCCTTTCCTTTACACAAATGCACACATGCGTGTGCGCGTGCACATGCGCGCACACGCACACACACACACACACACACACACACAGAGACTTGGAATTTGTTTGGTTCCAAGATTCTGATAACTCTAAAGAAAGCTAGCCCTGTATTAACTTTAGTATTAAACTAGCTCCCCCTGAGATACCCCAAATTCCTGTCAGTCACGTATCTATTCCTGCCCACTATAACGATGCATGCCTATAATTCCAGCACTCTGGGAAGATGGGGCAAGAGGACCACAAGTGCAAGCCCCACCTGGGCAACTCAGTGATTTAGTAAGACCATGTCTCAACATTAAACACACACACACACAGGGTAGGGATATAGCTCAGTGCAAAGGTACTCAGTTCAATCCCTAGTACTACCCCCCCCCCAAAAAAAAATCTTTTCCTCAAAATTATACTTTCCTGATAGAAAAAGCGCTAAGGGCAAGGACTATGATTGATACACAAGCAGTTCTAGGATGCTTGAGTCAAGCTATTGGAGACCCTGTACCTTCCGCAGATATCTTGGAACCCAGAGCCTCTACACGGAGCCACAGGGACTCCCTGCAGCTTTTTATTTTTTATTTTGAGATAAGTTGCCCAGGGTGGGCTAGAACTTGAAATCTTGCCTCAGCTTCCAGAGTGCTGAGATGACAGGTGTGTACCATGACACACAACTGCTACATTTTTAAAGTACATATGAGCTGAACTTGGATTAGATGGTATTGAAACCACACAGACCACCCCAACTGGGCTCAGACTGGCCAGCGCCAACTTAGACCAGCCAGAACAGGCTCAGACTGCCGATAGCAAACCAAGACCAGCTGAAACTGGCTCTGACTGGATCCAGCCATCTGAAATCAGATCACACCAGCAGAAACTGGAAAAGATCAGCTAGAACCACATTAGATTGCCTCAAACCTGCTTACACTGGGCAGAACTGGATTAGATCACACCAAATCAGATCTAACTACTCAAACCAGATAAGACAAGCCAGAAAAGGAAGGAGCCAGCACAGACCAGCCAGAACCACTTCAAACCAACCACAACTAGATAAGAATACTTTGAACTGGATGGAACTGTCTCAGACTGACTAGAACCAGATAAAACTGGCTCAGAGCTACCATAACCAGAATGGACCAACTGCAGCTGGTTCAGACTGGCCAAAACTTGCATTTTATTTTCCGCATCTCAGGACATACTTGATAATCAGGAAACAGCAGAAACAGATGACAACAGTGTTGGACAGTAACTGGGCAGAACTCATACCCTGGGTTATGCCAGTTCTTCAGGGCTTGTTGACAGGGAAGATCGAGGTGGAGGTTTCCACCAGTAATAAAATCGACTGTTGATGGGTATCCCTTATGTCTCTATAGGGTAAGTGGTTAGAGTTTGATACATACTGTTAATTCACTGCAAAAAAGATCAATAAGGACTCAGCCCAAAGCTGTGCACAGTTGTTCACGGGGCACTGTCCACATCCCCACAGACAGCAGCAACTCAAATTCAGCTGTCCCTCAGTGAATGAACAAACACAGTGTGGTCCATCCATGCAGCAGAATATCACTCAGCCATGAAAATGAGGGAGCACTGACACTGACACATGCTATGCTGTAGAAACATGAAACTAAGTGATAGAAGTGAGACATTAATGGCCACATCTTATATGGCTCCAGTGATGTGAAATAAACCATAACAAGCCACTCTAGAGACATGAAGCAGATTGGTGGTTGCCAGGGGCTGAGGGAGGGGAAAGGGATAGCTCATAGGGATGGGGTTTCCTTTTGGGGTGATGGAATATCCCAGAGCTGGCAGAGATGGTGGTTGTAAAACACTAATGTACATGTCAGGTATCCCTTATCTGAAATACTTAGGACAAGCACTGTTTTGGGTTTGGAGCTGTATTCAGCTTTTGGAATTCTACATCTGTCCAAGACTTCTGGGGAGGGGATTCATATACGGGATTCATTTATATTTGCTACACACATTGTATGCCCAGCCTGAGAAAGACTTACTAACTCCATTACTTCTCCTAGGATCAGCCCACTTAAGGTCATAGAAAAAGAAAGTGTTCCAGTCTGAAGAATCTTAGGAACAAACTAGTTAGCTCCACATTTCATGTAATAAGGAACTGAGGATGACAGTGGGAAGAAGGGACACTGCAAAGACACTGCACTGGTCGGTCTTCAGGGGTCTGAACCCTGGATTTCCTGACAGTCAGGCAGAAGGGTGCCTTTTGGACAAGAGGCACAACTCACAACAATTTTTAGGGGACCAAATCACTTTGAAGTATGAAAACTGAAATGGCTGGGAAAACAGAAAATTTTCAAAATGACTTTCTGACTCTGGGTAAACAGTAACCACATTTTTTTTGCCTGTTGGAAGCCTGGTTTTTAATCACTCCACAAGCAGTTTTCATTTCTGTAGTAAAATTGCTTGTGGTTCTATTTAATTTGTTTCTGCAGGAGCCGGCTTTGGTGAAGATCTCCGAGGAGCTGGCGGGCATTTTAGCACAGCACGCGCAGCCAGTCAATGAGAAACGGTTCCCAACGTGGAGGAAATTCCTCCAAACATTTCTCAGTCAAGGTAAATAAGGCTGTAGAGTTTCTATCGAGGATCAGTCCACACAAACTTGGGTTCTAGTTTTGGGTCGACTCAAGACCAATTTAAATATTTTTGTATCACCTGTGTTGGCTTAGAAAAGTGCTAAGAGCTACAGCTGCCTTTTTCTCTTTTCTAAGCTTTGCCTAAATATTTATCTTGCACTCAGCCTTGGAGTGAATAGGAACGCAGCGTTCCAAGCGTGGCATGCATATCTCAAGATTCCAGGCTGGCTTTGCCCCAGACCTCTCCTGAGAAGTAGATCTGGACCTCATCCATGACCTTGAGCAAGGTTCTGCAATCCTTAGAGGCCCAGTTTCCTCGCTTACCTACCACACAAGGTGGATGGCAGGGGGAGTCAATGGAACTAAGACATGAAGGATTCTACCCACAGGGCCTGATGCATAAAAAAGTCCTTAATAAATGTCGGTTTCCTTTCCACATTCCAAAGAAACAGAGATGGCCTCACTTCCAGCCAAGAGAAGTAGCATTTCCACATAAGAACCCAGTCTACACTCTAGGTACGAAGCCAACTGCCATTCCTCCCTCCTCCTCCTCCTCCATCCTCATCTTACAACAACCTGGGGATGAGGACTGAGGGAGTTCTGTATTCACAGAAAATGGTGCTTATCCCCAGTCCACATCAGGGACTCTGAGAGGGCCTGGCCTTCCCACCCCAGGCCAAGCAAGGCACATATGGGCACCTGTATGAGCCAAGAACAAGGGATAGAATAACACAACAGAAAAGTGTCTTTCCACTCTACTCCCTGCTGCCCAGCGATAGTACATTAATTAGCACCAAAACCTAGTGATAAAATAAAAATGCTATGTCAAAGGATACCACTGGTCACCGCTTGATAGTGGTAACAGTACAGAGATGAAAATGGACTGAGCTCCCACAGAGCTTATGATGTTCCAGGCACTGCCTTAAGTATACATATATTAACTTGTTGACTCCTTCTAAGAATTCTATGAGGTCACTACCAGTACGTCTTTGTAGTGGTTGATTGACTGTATCAACTTGAGAAGTTCAGAAGCTTAACTAAATCAGCTCAGAAATTTCACACTCTAGGGTGTGGAGGAGCCACCTTTAAGGGAAATGAAGGATGGAATGTTCCATCTCTTTGGAGGAGCTCCAGTCTTTGCCTTCAACTTGGGTGTCATCTCCTGGCTTCCAGTGCAAACTCTTCAGCTTCCACCTTGGACCCTTCAACCTTCTGGTGTAGACTCATCAGCCTTCCATCGCAGACCCATTGGCCTCCTGGTATGGACTTGCAAGGAACACTGCAGTGAGCTCCAGACCTTGGACTGGATTCTTCAGTATCCAGTGTACAGACATCCTCTGCAGCTTCCTCATCCAAAGTTGCAGCTGACTGTCATGAGCTGATCTTGTAATTCCTTATGCATTTGTACATCTTGTATTATATCTGTTCCTCTATTAAAGTCCTGACTGATGCAGATTTTGGTATCAAGATGTAGGGTCATTGCTGCGATTATAGCTGACCATGTCATTCAAGAGCCTTTGGAAATGGCTTATGGGAGCAGATAGGAAGAGTTTGGAGATGTCACCTGAAAGAAAAGCACTTGAACACCTTCAGCTGTTCTATATGGGAGATTCTGGTCAGAGCTCAGAAGACCAGAGTGCTGAGAGAAATCCTGCTTATAAGGACCAGAGTGGGTAGGAGTTTTCTTCTGGGAAGAAAGACTAGATTGGTTGTTGGACTCCAGATGATGTGTATTATGGCTTGGCAGAAAGTTTGACTGCATGGGGACAACCCGCTCAGGCCCCCTTCCTGTCCCTCTCTCAGATAGGAGCTTTCTTTCTCTCAATAAATATATTATGCTCATAAAAAACCAAAAAGGTCTGTCTGCATTTTGCTCTTGTCCAGAGACTGTCTGAGACTGAGATTAAGCAGAGAGGACTGATTAATTTGACAAAAGAAATTTCAAGGCAGTCAAATGTTGAGGCAGTGGCATGGCTATTGTTGGGGGCTTTTAGTCAGATTTATGTTAGGAATCAAGAGCAAAGAGCCCACCAGGATGAGTTAAAATGTGAGTTTAGCCAGAATCTCCAGTAAAGCTGTGGACTGCAGAGATAGAGCTGAGAAGTTCTCCATTGCTGAAAAAGAACAGGAGAATAGAAAAGATCGCCTGAGGGCATCACAAGAAGCAGCAAATCTCCACCCTTTGCAGCCTCAAAACTGGAGAAGTGGGCTGGGGAAATAGCTAAGCAGTTTAAGTGCCTGCCCGGCAAACACAAGGACCTGGGTTTGATCCCCGGCACCACATGCTGTGCTGGCCCCAGAATAGCGGGCATGCTGTGCCAGCCACCAAAATGGTGTGGTGGTGCACACTTGTAATCCCAGCACTGGGGAAGCTGAGACAAGAGGATCACTATGAATCCAAGCTGTGTAGTGAGACTCTATACCAAATAAATAAATAAATAAATAAATGACTGATTAAAAAATTTAAACTGCAAAAGTGAAAGACTTTGCTTAGAAGAGAAAGATGCAGATTGCCATGGTCTAGAGTGGCAGTGGCAGCCACACCAGGTTCCAAAATGGTGGTGACATAGATAATTTGTTCCTCATGGTCAGGTTAAGCATGTTCAGTAATCCAGGCTCTCAACCCCCTACAGCCAAGAGAACAGAAAACTTGGCTACTGCTCCAGCTGGAGATGGGATGTTGCATCACCCATGTGGCATCGTTTGTGGGCACGCAGAATGCAAAAGTTCTGAAGTTAAGAAGGTTAAGAAGGCTTCCACCTAGATCTCAGAAGAAGGCCTGGGAGACCAGGCAGTGTGCCTCTAAGGGGGCAGTATGTAAAGCTGTGAGTGAGAAGCCTACAGTGCAGTGGACACTCCAGAAGTTTGGAAGAGCCAGGAACATGGATCATCTAAGAAAAGATGCAAGAAGGGAGCAAAGCAGGTTTAAGAGAGAACCCCTAGGAGCTACAATCCCCAGAAGTGCCCTAGGGGCAGAGCCACACAAGGCCTTTGGAGCTCACAACTAATCACAGACTGCTTCAGATGTTTCACTTGGAACTACAGGATTTAGTGTTTGCCCTGCTGGGTTTTGGACTTGCTTTGATCCCAGTGCTTTGTACCTCCTGTTTGTACCTTTTAGAATGATAATTTTTTCTTGTGCCATTGAATGATAGGAATGTTTAACTTTTCATTTATACACAGGTTCACAGCTAAGAGTTTGCCGTAGGTCTTGAAGGAGACTTGGGACTTGGAATTTCCAGCAATGCTAAAACTGTTAGGACTCTGGAAACTCTTAGGGATGGACGAAAATGCCTTTTGCATAAAAGGATGTACGTACATGAGTCTGCCAGGTCAGCCTCCTACAGCCCACCTCTATCCAGGCCCCAACTTCCAACAGCTAATCTAGTATAACTTATCAGTCACATGAGCCTTTTTGGGGGACCACCCAGGTGTAAATCATAATATGGTATCACCCTTGTTTAACAAAGACAGAATCGGGAGACAAAAGGTGAACTCACACCAAATCATTGTGCTCAGTTGTAGAGGAGCCTATAAAAGGCTGGCTCTGTGTTGCTGCCTCAGTGTTGGCCAGAGCTAATGCATGAATTTGTCAGGTCTAGACCAGAAAGGACAGGCTTGTTAGCTTTGGAGTACACTGGTCAGATGCCTTGTAAATGAATTATTTAAGCAAGAACTGGATGCCAGAAATTTAGCAAGAATAATGAAAAAGGGACTTTTTTTTGGGGGGGGGTGAGGGCTTGTGCTATATTACCCCAGTGTCTTCTCTTCTCTAAAAGCATATGATGCTACACATTTCTGGATATAGCCACAGACAGAAAAGCAAAAAGCAACCCCCCACCAAAGGTCAGGAATAAGGTATTTGTATGTGTTACTGGAGATTAAGTCCAGGGCCTGTGCACTGAGCTACATCTCCATCCCTCTGTTTGTAATTTTTCATTTTAAAACTTGAGTCTAGCTAAGTTGCTAAGTTGCCCAGGCTGACCTCACATTTGCAATCCTCCTGCCTCGGCCTCCCAAAGTGCTGTCACACCCAATAAGAGTAAGGGCTTTATTTTGTCTTAAGTCAGAAGAGTAGGCTCTTCAGGTCCATCCAGGATAAGATATCAGGAAGTTTCCAGATCTTCTAAGATCAGCTTGCAAACCCTGTCTCTAAATCACTTCTCATGAATTCCCAGACACTATCTCACCTGAGCTGCATAATCACACGCCCAGGCTTCTTTCATCTTTATCTTTTTTTCCTCAGCCATGTGGGAGACACTGTGTTTACTGATGAACAGCCAGAACAGGTTTTGCTAACACAATTTTAAAGGTGAAGAAACTGAGGTTCAGCAAATAGGAAGTGACCTGGGCGAAGCCACACAAGAGATAAGGGATGCATCACACAAAGCTGGATCCAACAGTGTTACTTTGACTAAAAATCTGAGCTTGGAAGCAGTAGACTTCCTCACAGAGCTGTGGCGCCTCCCACAGGTCCTCACTCTAAGCTCACCAGCCCCACCAGCTTGCTCTGTGGCCTTCTACTCTTGAGGGTGCTCATGGCCACAAAATATGTCACAGATTTGACTTCTCCATTGTCATAGGATTATGTCAAAGGCTATACATTTTTATGGGAATTAATCACTTTGAAAGGATTATGGTCAGTGAGGTCACAGTGAAAAAGATTATGGTCAGGATGCTGAGGAGACAGTACAAATAAACTTAGTTGAAATAAAATATCTAAAGCAATCTGATAAATAAAAAACAGGTAAGTGTGTGCTCACTGAAGCATTATCTTCCAAAACACAGGTGACTTGGGGCTGGGGAGATAGCTCAGTAGAATAAGCACTTGTCTGGCAAGTGCAAGGGCCTGAGTTCAATCCCCAGTTCTGGAAAAAAAAAAAAAGTGACAATGAAGGACGCCAAGTTAACTGTATCAAAGAGACTCACAGGGTGATTTTGGTTTTGCAGGTTTTGTTGCATTTATGTTGTTCAACTCCAACGACTGGGGCTCAGGCACAGAATACACTAAGGAAAGAACATCTTGATAAGTTACAGACTGAAAAAAATATGCTCCCCAATAGTTTTCCTACTGAAAGCTGACATTCATGAGGACCACATCTGACTAAATTTACAGACACTTACGAAAAGTGCCTTTTGTTTAGCAGATGACTGCCTTCGATAATTGCTGTAATCTCAGAGCTTAACCATATATGTTATTTTAAGCCTGGGGCTTGTCCCTACAGATAGATAGATAGAGGTCACCACCTGTCCCTAGAAAATTCATGAAATATAGGGCAAGTTTATCTTAAGGCAAGTTCTAGAAGCACCTGTATGAAACACCTAGTTGTTTTTTTTTTTTTTTTGCTTTGAAATCAGGCTCTAACTTTCCACACAACATTTTAAACTGTTTTCTACAAAAAGCATATATACAGTAATAGTTACAAGATAGGCCTAAAAACAGAAAAATCAGGGGTTTTATGTGATTTTTGTGAGCACCCCTACCTAGCTCCAAAATCAGCCGGCAAAATGCTGTTTACTTTGTGATTCTTGGCATTCAGAAGAAAAGATAAAATATGATAAATTATGAAGCTGTCATCAGCAAGGTGGAAGTATCCATGTTCCTCAAGAACTGCAGTGCCTCCTGGCCTTATATATTTGCAGCTGGCTTTCCGTAGGAACCCTTCAGTTAGCATAATGGTGTTCTCTATGTCTGTTAAGGCCCAAAACCTATCAAACTGTAAAGCAACAATGAAGTTGGCCCATGGGTCATCAAATATGCATAGTTCATTCCCCACAGGGATCAGACCGTAGTCCTTATTCATGTAATGGGAGGGTATAGCCATGGTATTTACAGTGTCTTCATCATTTTGCTCAAAATAAAAACTGCGCTTCATTGAGCCCTACTATATGGAAAGCATTGGGTTACATATATATTTCTCTAAGGTTCACAACAACCTGGTGGGGTCAGTTTACTATGCCCATTTTACAGATAAAGAAAAAGAGGTTGGGAGACTGAAAGTGCTTGCTCCAAGTCTCCCAAGATCCTCCAGGTGCAGGAGCTGAGCCCAGGTCCATCTACCAAAGCCTCAGCCATTGCCTCCTGCTCTGAGCGGGTGCAATTACTGTGACTATGTCCTTCCACCCTCTCCATGCTTTTCCCACCAGGGGGCGTGATCGAGGCCTTCCCGCCAGCAGACAGTGTCACCAACCTGACTGTAGATATGCTCATCGAGCCCAATGGAGAGATCAAGGTGCTATCAACAGGGGATCAGTTTCATGCCGAAGGCCCCTTCATTTCTTCTGGTACCACCGTGCCTCAGACCTCGGTGGACCCCCAGGTTCTCAGTTCTCTGTGCTTCCGAATTGGAAAGGCCTGCCAAGTGAGAGATGTGGTTGGTTACTTTTCTATAGACCTGGTGACTTTCATTGATCCAAAGACCTTGAAACAGCAGGTAGGTTGAACTGATGCCAGGAAGATATTATGTAATGGTTTGTCCATGCAGTGGACAACATGAGGAAACTTCTAGAACTCCTTGTGCTCTGGTGAGCAGACTCTGTAAGTCCACATCTCCGCAGTCCAGGCCAACACAGGTGAGACCAGGTTTTATGTCTAGGAATACAGACCCAGGTCATCTCATTCGGTGTAGCTGGAGGATAAGTGACTGAAACTCGTCTCCCACAGCCCTGTTGACTGCCCTGTATTCTGCCCCTTAGTGCTAGATCTGCTGGTTACCTCTTATGAAGCTATTTCACACATCCAGGGACCGATCCTGTCTGAAACCTGTTCGTAAACAGAAAATCCATCTCTAGAAAGGAGTGAAGAGCCCTTGTTTCCTATCAGTAGCATATCAGCAATTTAGGTTATCAGTTTTTCCTTTTAAAAAGTATATTGGGAAACACTCCAGAACTATAAGAAGATCTAAATAATTAGATGCCCCCATCGTACATAAGAAACAAAGTGGCACTGACTCTAAGAGCAGTCCTGCACTCTCCTTACTAAAAGCCCAGCCCTTCCTCCTCCTCCAAGGACAGGCAAGAGGGTCCATGTCCTCTTTGGGGGTTGGACTCCTTCCCATTTTGTTACATTCTTCCTGTAGTGGATATACCTAGAAATAGGACATGGTTTCATTTATGCATGTCTTTAGCATTTTAGAGACTGTGACATCTACATATAATTATTCTGCAGCGTGCTTTTGGTTACCAGGGTTACATCCGTGACATTCTTCATGTATGGCTCTGATGTACAACATTCTGGATAAATACTTTTTAGCCAGTTTTGCTTTGCTGTTCCCCACCAGAGTGATAATGTTGACTGACATTTACAACTACTTCATGGAACTCATACTCTGAAATGTTCAGTTGCTCTCCTTTTCGTATTGGGTGTCCAGGCCTCTGTCTGAAGGATGAAAGGGACATTCAGCCTCCTGCTCGCCATATCCTCTGGCTGTCCAGCAGCGTACGCGGACCATAGTTGTTCTGGATTCATTATCCTCAGCTTTATTGCCCTCCATTTCACCGGATGGTGGCTTCAAACAGGAGTTTATGTTTTGGGTAGTGTTCCGCCTGTTCAATAACCATTTTCCAGTTGCCTTCCCAGGCCCTCTGTTGGTTTTGCATTCTGTTCTCCAACCCACAGGCTGAAAGAAAAGGACAGACTGAAGGGCATTCAGAAATCTGTCTGGGGTGCAGGAGGACAGAAGAGTGGGCCCTGGAGGCAAAGGTGGCAGAAAGCAGGGGACGGGGGGGGGGCACCTCCCCAAGGGACAGAGCTGAGGAGAAAGGTTGATATCCAAGGGACCTGGGCTTATGCTTCTTCCTTAAATGAGTTTGTGATAGGGACACTAGCACACAGTGGGGAAAAAGATTTTACATGGCTCTGGCTTTCCCATGGGCTTATCACTAGCCTGGGCTTCTGGGAGAGGACCCGCCCACCCTTGGCTGGTCTCACGTACCTGGTCAGGTGTACTCACCCTCACCCCCCCTTTCTCTCTCGTCCAGCCACATGGCCTCAGCGTCTTACTCATTACACTGCCTCTGCCCCTGGGCCTTTGCACACGCTGCCCCTCTGGCTGAAAAGCTCGTGCCTCTTCTTTTGACCTTGTTAACTCCCCTTTCCTTACCATCGTACTTCAACTCAGCCCTCACCTGCTTGGAGAAGCCTTTCCTGATTTCTGAGGTAAAGTCAAATCTTACTGTTTTACATTCTCGTATTATCCTGTGGCTCTTTCCTATCACTTATCCCATTTGCAGGTTTAAGCTTGTTTACATGATTATTGGGTTAGCGCTGTCTCCTCCTGCAGTCTGTAAGCTCCCTGAGGGATGCACAGGGTCTCTTTTTGCTCCTCATCATAAGCTTAGCATTTATCTTTGCCCTGGGACAAAGTGAGTGTTTGGTAAATGTTTGTTGAATGAGTGAGATTCCCTAGCTGATGTAGGGTGGGGTTGCTGAGGTGTTTGGAGAAGGAGGGCAGACGCTGGTTGGATAAGCGAAATAGATAAATATTAGCCCTCAATTCTTGGCCTTTATAGTAGGAGTCCTTCTAGTCCCTTTCCATTAATCCTTGTATATGTGTCAATTTGAATAACAGCTCTTAATAGAACTTTGGAGGGAGTTCCAGGTGACTGTGCCAAGTGACCACATCCCATTAGCAAGGAAAGTAGTTTGTTCTCTGTGTAGACTAGGTTGCCTGCAAGCCACAGGGACACGCTCTTATCACTCTGTAGGTGACATCACCTCAGAAAGCACCTAGACTGATTTCCTAGCATGCCTTGTGATGGCAGCAAAGAGACCCGTATGCTACCAACCTCTCACTTTTGTCTAGTCAACAGATTTGTACTGATGCTGCACAACTTCTCATGCTTATTTCCATATTTACCTCTTCTCCTAATTGCCTCATGTCTTTTGTCCCTTTTCAAGGGACAAAATTGATTACAATGTAAACCATTATAGTCAAACCAAATTTGACTATAATGTAAACCTTGATTTTCAGAAGCTCTTTGAACATGAAGAAGTTATTCTTTAGAAGCTCTTTGTATATAGTTTTTTGTTTTTGTTTTTGGTACCAGGGGTCAAATTCAGAACCCTGTGCTGGCCAGGCAGGTGCTTACGCTGCTGAACTATTTCCCCGGCCCTGTACATAGTTTTAAGCCAGAAATTTGTTGCAATTTGTTACAACAGCGATAGAAAACTAATACAGAAGAGATGACTATTTTGTGTTTTCTGCATTTTTTTTTACAATTAATGTTTAAATTTTGTTGACGTATCTATTTCTGGTGCTGGGATCGAACCTGGGGCTCATAAAGCATGTACTCTACCACTGAGCTATACCCTTAGCCCTGACATTTGCATTTTCAGAAGTAACCATATATTTTATTTCTAATAAGACAACAATATGAACATAACCATAAATTTGTATTGAAGCTCACTTATAAAAGTCATGTGTTAAAACATGAGAAGCAGAAAGCTGAGGCGACCTTTACATACAAGCTCTTGCATACTGGCCCCATCTGGGATCCATAATTCACCACACTGACACGGTAGAAGACAAGGGGACTGGGAAGTGAGGGGCAGTATAAATGCAAGTGATGCACCAAGGACAGGCAGTCCATGAGTCAGCTCCAGTCGGGACTGGAAAATTCCACCTAGACCCAAGGAGGTGCAAACAGCTTTCAGGTAGCAGAAGAGAAGGACAGTTTGGGAAATGTAGGGTTGAAGTACTGGGAGCCTCAAGTAGAACACAGGTCCTTTGGGGAATAAAAGACCTCAGAGCTGTTGAAGCCTGGCACAGAATGGCTCCCAAGAGTGGCCTTCGGACCGAGGTTCCAGTATCCTACAGAGGGAGATGTTGCAGACAGGATCCTCAGTACTTGAGAAGGCTGTCATGGTGTGGACCTGGCCTTCTTGTGTGAGGGTGAGGGGTGGGACCCAGTGCAGGGTACTGACCTCTAAACAAACAGCAGTCAAAGCTGTTTCCAAACCATAATGGGTCCTGATGTGTGGTAGGTAGTGGGTTCCGTGAGGGGCAGGAAGTTTGAGAAAGGCCTGACCTGCACCTTATTAACAAGGAGGGCCTATGCTGCCCCCTCCAGGTGCTGAGGGAAAGGATAGGACATTCTCTGTCCTGACATGTGCCCTGTCAACTACCTCACAACTATCATCCATTGTCACTTTACATACATGCACACAGTTGTCGTCTACTCTACTAGGTTCACAGGCATAAATATTATGTTGATGGATTCTAAAATCCTCTAGAAAATACACTAAGTCTTGCTTTTTTTTTTCTTTTGGCCTCTTTGAGATCTTGAACACAATGATGGCCCCATTTGTTGACTGGCAGACTTTTGGAACTTTTCGATGATTCAGATTTATTGAGCTTACTTACTCACTTTTGGGAAACTGTCAATGAAACAAGTGTTTATTGAGCATCTATTATGTATAAGCCATTACGCTAGTGCTAGAAAAGCAGCAAGATGCTAGAGATGTAGAAGTACCTACCTTTAGGAAGTTCAAGATCCAGCTGGGAAACCAGCTTTAAGAAAAAAGAATCACTGGAAACTGTTTGAGCGACAACTGCATAAAACATTAAAAGAGACATCAAAAAGGTAATGTCGGTTTAGTTATCAAATGGTTTGCCATGTGAATTCGGACAAGAGAAATGGCACTTCTGCTTGGAACAAATGAAAAGGGTCTTTACAGAATAGGTGGGATGTGAGTTGAAAGATGAGGATTAAAGGAGCAAAGAAAGGTGTATTCTACACGGAAAAAAGTTCTGGAGGGTGGTGGTAGAAATACATATGGACAAAAATGATGACATGTATCTTACAGACATCCTATCTGACTTGCCTTTATAAATACGAACTTATATGACAATTCCTTTTCTTCATATAGAATTCTCTAGACAAAAAGTTTAGCGAAAACACTTCTGTTGAAATTTCCAGAGGTAGGATCAGGGAGATAGCTCAGTGGAATAAGTGCTTGCCTGGCAAGCACAAGGTCCTGAGTTCGATCCCTGGTACCACTCCAAAAAAAAAAAAAAAAGCAACAACAAAGAAATTTCCAGAGGAAAAACTTTTTTATTTTTCAATAATTGTGAACATCTATTTTATGAACATTGACTGTTACACCTTTTAAAAGGGGGTGGCGCTATAATCTTTAAGGAAAGGGTTTAGAGGAAAAACAGCTGCAGGTGCCTAGTAGTGGCCCTAAGGATATAAAGGAAATTGAGAACCTTCATCAATACAGATTACGAGGAAGACAAAAATGGCATCACTAATGATAGATACTACAGCCTACTCCATGTGCCATGGTTTAGACCTAAAGCGTCATGTGTTTGGATGGTGATTAGATCATAGGAAATCATAGCAAACTATATGTTAGCAGGTGGAGTCTATCAGAAGAGGTGGGGGAGTGGGGGAGTGGCCTGGCAGGGTTTATATCCTTGAGGGGCTCCTC